TATGATTTATTATTATAAAAGCAAAGTTAACATTTTCGCTTTTTATTTCCCGATTATTTATATTATTTAACTTCAATAAAACATAATATTAATACTAAAAAGTTATATTAGAATGTGAGCAAATAACCGGGATTATTTACATTTATATTTCTATTTTAAATTGCTGCTGCTCAACACTACCACCCCGATTTTTATTTCAAATGGACAATAATTTTTACCATTTAACCCAAACTTGTCGTTTAAGTAAAACTTGTCATACTTATTGTTTGATTTATTTTCTAATGATTTTTTTGAAATTATTATTCTTAAATAGTTAATTGTCACAAATGTTTTAATAACATGTTATACCTTTATTGTTAGTATACTTCTTAATATAAATAAAAAACAACATTGAAATTTGAATAAATTCTTTAATAATACATCTTGTTAATTTAAAAAATAAATATTCTCAAAATATTATGTTTATATTTAAATAATATATTATTTAAAATAATATAATATATTATATTATATTATAAATCAATAGAAAATAATAAACAAAAAATCAATGAATAACACGAATCATATTGTTTGTAATAACATTTAAATTATTCAACATCAAAACAACATTCTTATTTATTTTTAACAATAATTGGAATGATAACCAAAAATAAAATATAATAAATTAATAATTTCAAATGTTTTAATTTTTGATTTGATTTATAATGCCAAGATTATATACAGCAAAACTAAAACGTGTGTTTTTTACTTTAAAAAAATCTAGATAATTCAAAAATAATAATGATTCATCAATTAAACATTGTATCACTTTTATTGTTTTTGATTGGTGTGTCCTCTGAAAAATGTGAAGCTGGTTATTATCAAAGTGATGGTAAATGCGTTGAGTGTAAAAATGGATATTATTCAGTTGGAGGGACTGTTGTCGAATGCACAAAATGTGACGAATTGTGTGCGATTTGCGATAAAACAAATGGGAATTGCACAAGTTGTGTTAGTGGGTGTAGCTTCATCGGCCGTAGCTGCTTGTTGTGTCCAGCTGGGTATTATTCACCTGGTGGAACACAATCATGCACATTGTGTCGGGCTGGTTATTACTCGCTTGGTGGTGCTTCTGTGTGTTCAAGTTGTGATTCTACATGTGATAGTTGTGATAGAACAAATGGCAACTGCACAACATGTAATTCTGGTTATATATTGACGGATGGCAGATGCACACCATGTCGGGCGGGGACGATTCAAAATGGCGATATGTGTGTGGAGTGTCCAACTAACTATTACTCACCAAGCGGTTCCATTTCATGTAGAAAGTGTGACACGACGTGTGTGACATGCAATTCAACAAATGGGTATTGCACATCGTGTCAAGGTGGATATGCCACCAACAACAAAGTGTGTACAATGTGTGCAAGTGGGTATTACGAGCACAATAACGCATGCAAACAATGTGAGAATGGGATGTATTCGTCAACAAGTGGGATCACTGCATGCACGCCGTGTCAGGGTGGGTATTACAGTCTGATTGGGTATTCTGGGTGTGTACATTGTGATGATGTGTGTGGTGATCACTGTGATGCTGCAAGTGGGAAGTGTCTGAGTTGCATAAGTGGATATGTCTTACAACCAACGGGAGAGTGTGTTGGATGTGAAGGTGGGCAATATGCAAATGCAGCAACTAACAGCTGCAAGTTGTGTGCTGCTGGAACGTATTCAGAGCAGAATGCAACTTCATGCACAAGTTGTGGTGATGGGACGTATTCCAAAGAAGGTGCCACCAGCTGTACCGCATGTGCATCTGTTTGCAACACTTGTGACAAAACAACTGGTGTGTGTCTGACATGCTATTCAGGGTATCAACTGAATGCTTTGCAGAGCTGTGAGATATGCCGACGTGGGACATACTCATATGGCAAAAAATGTGTTGAATGTGAAGAGATGAAATACCAAAGTAAAGAGGGGCAGTCCCTCTGTCTTGCCTGCAATACAAACTGTGCGTCGTGTGACAAAACAAATGGAAAGTGCACCACATGCAAAGCTGGATATGGTTACGACAGTGGAAGTTGCACGGTGTGTCGCGATGGCTACTATTCCACAGGCGGGACTGATGGTTGCATGTCGTGTCCAGTTGTTTGTGATAAATGCATCAGAGAGAGTGGCGCGTGCTCGTTGTGTTTTTCTGGGTTTAAGAAAGTTGGAGGTGAATGTACATCATGTGCATCAAATGGGAATTGCAATTCGTGTGATTCAAACGAAAATGAGAGCAGCCGGGTGTGTGTCGAATGCACTGAGAATTACTATTTAAATGATAAAGACAACAGCTGCAACTTGTGCAACACAATTGATGTCAGCTGTGTAAAATGTTCACGAAGTGCAAAGGTGTGTGTTGCATGCAAAGAAGACTTTGTGACAGATGGCACTTCGTGTTACAAATGTGGTGCAAGCGAAGTCAAAATCGACACACAAAGCTGCATGAAATGTTATGACGCCATCAACAACTGCAACGATTGCACTTTCACAAACACCACCTTTGTGTGTGTTAGATGTTTTGCGCCATATGCGGTGTCAACTAACAGCAAGTCGTGTGTGTTGGGTTACACTGAGGGTAGTTATTACAACTACGACACAAAGACATCAACATTGAATTATGATAATTGTGTGAGACAGGTGAACACAACGTGTATACGATGCAAAAACACTCTGCTTGTCAACGGAAGTTGCATTGGTGTTGACAGTAATTGCAAAAAACACTCGACAACGACGTGTGATGTGTGTGCGACAGAAGTTATCACAACAGCAAACTGTGGAGAAACCACAAATAACTGCAAATACACAAAAGTTGTGAGTGGTGTTGGTGAGTGTCTCCAATGCAAAAGTGACGAGCTGTGTGGACTGCAACAGCAGCACTGCGCAATGTCAAACAACTTATTTTGTTATTTGGCAGTAACTGGATATTCTTCAACAACAAATGGAATTTTGGAGTGTGTGGGTGGCAGTCTTTGTATTCAAATCGGCAACGATGAAATTGATTATAAGTGTGCAAATCCATATGTGTTTGATGGCAAATACAAATGTCATGACGATGTCAAATGCAGCATAATGAAGTCGAGTGATTGTGTTGGATGCACCACAAATCACCACATTGAAGACTACACGTGCACACAAAACACAATTGCAAACTGTGAAATTCAAAACAAAGACATTTGCATCAAATGCGATGCAACAACAATCACATCAGATGGGAAGTGTTACTCAACTGGCAGTGTCGACTGTGCTGTGTTTGATGGTGTGTGCAAGAATTGTGCAGCAGACAAGTACAAAACACTTGAGAGGTGTGAGTTGATAGAAACACAACTCCCATCATGCCAGTTTGTTATTGGAGAACACTGCGCTGAGTGTCAAACCAAGCACAATTTGATCAACGGCATTTGTGTGACAAACACACAACAAAACACAACAAACAATTATTTTAAATCCATTTCAAATCAATTGCAAAACACACAACAAAAAAATTATAAAAGTGGCACCAAAACGTTATTGAAATTGGAAGAAAACGACGCGTCGAATTGCATTGAAAAATGTTCAAAGGGATGTTTGCGATGTGCTGCCACGTATTATATACAAAATGGTGCTTGTGTGCAGTGCGAGTACCCCTGCATACACTGCTCCAATTTGACATTCTGCACAAAGTGTGACCAATACTCGTATCCAAACACAAATGGCATTTGCACAACTCTTGGAGAAATCATTACAACATGCTTGGCAATGATGCCAAATTACGATGGATGCGCTATTTGCAAAGATGGTTACAAAAGATCCACCGATGGCAAAAGTTGTGACAAATGCGATGAGTCGTGTGCAACGTGTGATGTCTTTGGCAATTGCATTGACTGCAACAACACATTCTATCGAATCGATACAAGTGAAAAATACTGCAGACCACAAAGTGAGTTAGTTGGATGTGTTAATTCGAGTACTTGTGGCTGCTTGATATGTGAAGATGAGTATTATTTAAATACAAATAAATGTGAAAAATGTGATGACAACTGCACACTCTGCACATCACTGAATGAGTGCACATATTGTGTTGCAACACACATTTTAGTCGATTCACAGTGTGTTCATTTTTCAACTGTTTCAAATTGTATTTCTGCATCTGACAACAAGTGCGCGCAATGTGCTGACAACTACAAAGTCAATACAAAAGGCACTCAATGCGACAAAAAGACGAACTATGGCTTGGACGTTGTTCTTCCTGTTGTCCTGACATTATTATTTTTGGTATTTCTTTCTGTAGTGATATATACAATTTTTTATCTTTTTAATAAAAAGCAGAAGAAAGACAGAGAAAAAGGAATATGTGTATTTTCGATGAAAAAATCGAATATTCCAATGAAAGTACTTGGAAACAAAATTTTGACAAATAAGACTGAAATTTGTTTTAATGAAGTTGATGATTTTGAAGATTTGCTTAAAGTCAATGTTGAAAGTCGTGAACTTGTTTGTGTTGAAAACTCTTCAAAAGATGTTTTAAAAATTCAAATCACAACACAAAACATTTCACAAAAGTACGCAATAAGAACAGAACCAAAAATAGTGACTTTAAAAAAAGGATTTGCATGTGAATTTGAAGTCTATATAACGCCATATTGTTGTCTTAATTTGAATGACAAAGTTGCTATCATATCATTGAATTTGAACACAGGATTGTCTTCAACATCTTTTGTTGGTATAAGTGCCAAAACAGAAAACTCTACACATTTAGATTACGATGAGTTGTTAGAAGACAAGAAACTTGGTGAAGGATCTTTTGGCATTGTGTATAAAGGAAATTACAGAGGAAATATTGTTGCAATTAAAAAGATGAAACAAATTGACAATTCATTAGATGACAATTCGATTGATGAATTTACAAAGGAAGTTGAAATGCTTGACAAATTCCGCAGTGAGTATATCATTCATTTTTATGGTGCGGTGTTTATACCAAGCAAGGTATGTATGGTCACCGAATTTGCACCATTTGGCAGTTTACAAGACTTAATTAAAAACAAAACAAGTGAAGAAGTTGAATTGAAAATGAGGGTTAAAATGATAGTAGATGCGGCAAAGGGAATATCATATTTACACGAAAATGGGATTTTACACAGAGATATCAAACCAGACAACATTCTTGTGTTATCACTCGATTCAAATGAAAACGTGAATGCAAAATTAACTGACTTTGGGTCAAGTAGAAATATCAATTTGTTAATGACAAATATGACATTTACAAAAGGTGTTGGAACACCAAAGTATATGGCGCCTGAAGTTTTAAAACAAGAGAAATACACCAAAAGTGCCGATATTTTTTCGTTTGGAATAACAATCTATGAAGTGGTTGGGTGGTGTAAAGCATATCCAACAGAGACTTTCAAGTTTCCATGGAAAATTGCGGAGTTTGTGATGTCAGGAAAGCGACTCGAAAGACGTGAAAATATACCCGTCAATTTGTATGAAATTATTCAAGCGTGTTGGGTTCGAGAAAAAGCAAACAGAGTCTCCATTGATGAAATAGTTAATATGCTAATAATATGATTTTTTTGGTTTTTTATAAACTGTTTTTTAAAAGTTAATTTTGTATTTTAAAATTTCCTAAAGTCCTGTATTCTTTGTTTTTTATTTAAAAAAACAAAAAATCAGAAATACAATCTTTATTTAAAAAAATCATACAACTTTTTGTTTCCAAAAAAACATAAAAAACAAATTGACTAATACGAAATCAAAAATTAGACCGATTTTATATGTATTCAGTTACAAATAATCAAACATTTATTATTTACTTTTACATAAAAAATACTCCAAACATAAAAATGGTCACTTTAAAATTAATAGTTAATGTTTTCAAGTTTAATGACAACATCATTGATTCCGAGTCTTTTGTAGACATCTTGACACCACATATCGTTCACGATGTCGTATATGTCTTTTTTCATATAAAATGGTTTTTTTCAGGCGTTTTCCACTCACAACAAAGTCGACAATGTCTCATGGAAACTTAAATCGTATTTTGGGATATGGTTCTTTCCATGTCACACATTCAAACAAAGAAACACCAAACGAATAGACATCAGCTGGCTTCTTGTATTTCTCTTTGTTCAAGATTTCGGGCGCCATATACTTTGGTGTTCCAACACCTTTTGTGAATGTCATATTAGTCATCATCATATTGATGTTTCTTGATGACCCAAAGTCAGTTAATTTTGCATTTACGTTTTCATTTGAATCGAGTGATAACACAAGAATGTTGTCTGGTTTGATGTCTCTGTGTAAAATCCCATTTTCATGCAAATATGATATTCCCTTTGCTGCATCCGTCATAAATTTAAGTCTAATTTGTATATTTACTTCTTCAGTCTTTTTGTGTTTCATTAAATCTTGTAACGACCCGTATTGTGCAAATTCAGTGACCATACACACTTTGCTTGGTATAAAAACAGCGCCATAGAAGTGAACGATATATTTACTTCCAAATTTATCTAACATTGAAACTTCATTGTTGAATTCTACCATTGACTCGGTATCATTAAAAATAGTTTTCATTTTTTTAATTGCAACAATATTTCCTCTAAAACTTCCTTGGTACACAACTCCAAACGAGCCTTCACCAATTTTCTTGTCTTCACTTAATTCATTGTAATCAATTCGTGTTGATTGTTGTGTCACACCAACTAGTGAGATTTTGTCGTATTTCTCTTTGTTTGTTTTGAGATTTTTAGAAATTAATTGTATAATGTTATTAATTTTGCAAGAACACAACGGTTTGATATTTACAGAAAACTCACATGCAAAGCCACTTTTAAGTGTGAAAACTTCTGGGTCAACACGAATTGTAAACTTTGTGATGTTTGATGAAATTGTAAACTGTATTTTAATGGCGTTTTTGTTTGTGTTTCCAACACACAATACCTGCCGCGTCTCTTTGTTAACTTCTATTTGTTCAACGTCTGAATTTAAGTCAATCAGATCTATAGAAACACAGACACCTCCCTGGAGAGGTATAAATTTGATGTTGGATTTGTTCATTACAAAGAGTGTCGTTGTCTTATTGATTTTGTGTGTGTGAATTTTGTTGAGAATAATCTTTGTTAATACGACAATTGAAGCAATTAATACAAATAACACTCCAAAAACAAACAAAACCGCCACTAGAATGACCCACCAAACAGCCTGCGATTCACACGATGCGCCATCTTCACTTGGAGTGTACCAAAATGAACACTTTGAACATTTTGAATTTGTGATTTTATTGCATTTTGATACTTGTAGAAGACCACCACAACTTCCATTCCCAAGTAACACAAGTAAATTATTACATGAAGTACATTTGCTTGTTAATGTACATGTATTGCAGTTGTCATCACACTTTTGACACTCGTTTGTGTTGACTGTATAATACCCATCTTGACACTTTGAACACCCACTTTGTGTAACCTTTATTGCACACCCAATGATATCACGTTGTGGCAAACAGTCACCGCCATTTGTTTTGTAATTAGTTGAATTGCAAGAAAAACAACCAATTTTGTAGTTGCATGTGCCACACTTTGGATCACATTCATAACAATCAAAACCAACTCTGTAATACCCGTCATTGCATACAACACAACCACTTCCAAAACTAGCGAATTGTTTACATGTAAATTTTAAATTTTCATTTGTGTTGCAATTGTAATTTGACAAATACATGTTTTGTGGACAACTGAGACACTTTGTTGATTCTTCAAAACACGTCAAACAACTTGAATTACAATTTACACATTGTTTTGTTGACTCATCAAAATAAAAAGCTTCAGCACACGTTAAACACCTTAAACTGTTGTGTACAATACAATTTGGTTCTTTGATATTGTTACATGTATTATTAGATAAAACATGTTCACTTTTACATTCATTACATTTTTCATTTGATTGTAGCATACAATTATCAATCATTGTTGTACATTTGCCGTTTTGGTCATTCGGATTTACACAAATAATGTTTTCACACTTTCCGTTAGTGTTCATTTGACTTGAATTGTCACATTTTGTTATTTTTCCATTTTCACACATTTCAGAATTTATGTATAAATCATTACACTTCAAACAATTTGTTGTGTTTAATACAAAACCCATATTACATGAAATTGTGTTAATGTTTGTTATCACTTCACAGTTAAAATCACTTTTTACACACTTGCAATTGTTGTTAATATACCCATTGTTTGTGTTGCATATTTGGCACTTTCCATCCAATTGTACAAGTAAACAAGTCGCATTACTTACACATAAATTATCTTGTAATAAAAAACCAGTTGAACATTTAAAGCATGTATTTGATATAGAATATTCACAATTTGCAATTTGTTCACATTTTGAGTTAACAACAGCAAATTGATTTTTGCAAGATAAACAATTAATTTTATGAAAGGGACAATACTTACAATTCACATCATCACAAATGGTTGTATCTTCGCACATTTTAGACGTTTTGTTGTATACACCATTTGTGCATCTTAAAACAAGTATCTTAAAATTATCATTTGTGTTTATTGCTGCGTTGAATTGTTCATCTTTATAAGTCAATATTGTCTCTGAAACTAAAAGTACAGTTTTTGTCAATAAAAACATTTTTATTTTAACTGTTTGTTTTGTCGAAATACCAAGAACTACATTATCACTTATGTAAAATGATATTTGTGTGTTTCCAATTGTAACACTTTCAGATGAAAAATTGTCACTACTTTTTAAATTTGTATTTAAACTTGTTTTGGTTAGATCGATTTTAACATACAGTGACGTTATATTTTGAAGCGGTGTGATATACCAGTCTTCTGTATCATAACATGGACAATATGGTTCGCTGTATTTCACAATTTTGTTTGTTACATACTCAACATGACAAAATATTTTATTTGAAGTGCCATATCTTAACAATCTACCATTCAATAACAATTTAGTACCAGCTAACGTTTTATCATTAATTGCTTTCTGTGAACACATAATATCAAAATTAATATCTGATTGTACTGTTGAGTTTAATATATTTAATGCTTTTGAACCAGAATAAAATACAATTGGAAGATCTCTGATATCCCTATTACTTACTACAAGTGTAGAGTTTACAAACACAAATTCATTGCCAACACCAATTAAAGATTTTCCAGTCACATTGAGTACGCTTGTATAACGGAAACTATCAATATTTGAACAACTTTGGTAACAGCTTACATATTGTAACGACTTTGTAATAATTTGAACTGAATCTGCCATTCCATTCAATGTTATTACACCGCCTTTGTGAACATAAAATGAAATTACACTGTTAATTTTCGATAAATTGTTTAATGTAAAATATGACTTTTCAATTTTAACTTTATTGTTATTGATGTTGATACTAGAGTAATCATTTAAAGTCACTTGTGCTTTATTCATAATGTTTAAATATGTAACTCCATTTATTATTGTATTTGAATTCATAATCAAAATTGCAAAATAAACATGCATAAAATTTGTAATGTTTATTGTTGAATTGTCGTTCATTGTCAATGTAGAATTGTAATTTAAATACAATGAATAAGAAGATTTTATATAAGTGTTTTGATTCATAACAACTTTTATATTGTTGTAAGTGTATAATTGACCTTGAAATAATAACTTGGAGTTGTCTTTCATTATTAGTTGAGAGTGTTGCCTTAAATTAATCATTTTTTTCGTTATTAATTGTGCGTTTTCGTTCAATTCCAATTTTGATGAATCATAAAAATTAGTTTGTTGTGTCAAGTTTAGATTTGAATTTACATATTGTACAATTGATCCATTACCAACACAATTGATACGTCCATTCATTTGTACATTTGCATTTGATATCATTTTGAACTGAATGATATCAGAAGATGAAATTTTACCAATAGTAATGTTATTAAATGCTGTACATGTATCAAAGACTGTAGTATTTTCCAAAATAGTGTTTGGAAAACTGCAATTTTGTGAAAATGTGTATATTATCAAAGCATACATTATATTAATGTAAACAATCATAAACAACATATTCGTTTTGATAATAATAAGTTTTAACATTCATTTTATATATGTTACATTAATTAATCACTTTGAATATAAAATTATAAATAATGGTCAGACACATGAAAAAATAAATAAGTTTTTATTGATAATTATTACTTGAAATAATAGTTTTTATTAACTTTTTGTCTAACCACTTTCTAATTTGTAATTATTACATTCAAACATTCAAACATAACTAAAATAATACATCTTATAACAATACAATTTATTAGGAATGTTGTGTTCCAAATCATTGTCAAAATGTAAAAGAACCCAATTTTATATATAGTAACTTAAAAATGAATACTATATTAAAATATTAGAGCAAATAATGATTTATACAAAATTATAAACAATTTTAATGATACCCCTTAAAATAACATTAATTGTTAACCGTATTTATTTTCAATTTGGAAAGGTACAAAAAACTATTGTATTTTTTATAATCAAAAGATAAACTGTTTTGTATTTTAATATATTTAGGAACTTTTGATAACTTGTAAAACACAATCTTATCGAAATTAAGCATTCACTGTCAAATTTGTTGATTTTTAAATCATAACATTGTGATATATAAGTCCAAAATTTAAACAAATATTCCATTTTTAACTAATTTTATTTTATTACAACATTTCATTGTTGTAAATATGGTGTTTAAAAATATATTTTATATAATTATTTTATAAAACATTAATTTAACAACGATTCCATCATGTTTATTTTACATAAACTCGTTGACAACAAAGAATTTTCATTACTATTAAAAAATTCAATTTGTTTAAAATAACGAATTCTAGATATTTAAGAGTTCAATGCATTGTAATTTTTTTCTATAAAAAGTGAATATTTATCAAATTAATAATTGTTTAACATGTAAGATTTATTTTTGTTTATTAATCCTTGAAAAAATAATACAAATTATATTTTTGCCCAACAAAAAACGAAAGATGGGAAATAGAAAGTTGTTTATCAAATAGTTAAATATACATATATATAAACTATATTTATTAAGTATTTATATACAATTATATAATATATGATTTTTATATATAAAAATTTACTAAATATTATATGTTCTTTTTTGTTATATAGTATTTTAAAAACAAAACAAAAAACAAAATGAATTATAAGACTAATAAAATGTATTTCTCGTTTTTTAGTTTGTGTTTCGGGTTAAGATTTGTCAAGTTCCTTTATCATTTTAGTAAACTTTATGTAGTTTTGCTCGCAGACAGCGTTGTTGATACATTTCAGCAACCTGCTTTCTTGGCGCCTCTTCACTGAAGTTGAATAGATGCTTGTACTTGTCTGGAGCCAGGCCAAGAAATACGTCGAATAGCCAAAAGAGGAGGTTGTCTCTGAGTGAGAGAACAACAAATGTCTTTATCTTCCCGATCACAAACGATGTCATTCTTTCTTTGATAACTTGAAACAGTTGTTCTGCCATTGCAGCAACTTTGTTGCCACGTTCACCAACGTTTCCTGTGGCATTTTTTTCGGATCTTACGGTTGCCCAAAAGTCGTCGACCAATTTGTTTGTGTACTCTATTTTCGGTTTGTTGGTGAATCCCTGAAAAAAAAACCAAGGTGTTTTTATGTCTTGGTTGTTGAACATCTACAAAATAATTAACGACTTTTCCGGTTGTCAACTCGACAAGATTGAGCCAGAAGCCGACAAGCGCCTCAATGAACGATTTTGCCATCTCGCTGTGTTCCAACAACGACAATTTTAGTGAATATATTGGCAAGTCATAATGGAGACTATCCGGCTGGCCTCATGCCTTGGAATATGAATAGAAAGCTGAGAAAAATCAACTGATGAGGCTCCTCAAAAACAAAGTCAGAAAATTTAAGGTACAGTAAAGAAAACAAATGTTGTAAACCTGGTATATATCGGATGTTTCTAAAATAAACGGGAAACTTGGTTAATTTATTTCTAATATCCCGTTTTTGTATGCATTTATATTTCCGTTATAAATAAATGACTATATATTCGGGATTGTATCCTATTTTATAATCTTTTTAAAGAAAAAGTTGTGTGGCAAAAAAGTTGCAAAAAATGAAACAGGTTTGGTGGAGTTTTTTTTTCTAGAGGATGGCAAAAAAAACAATTTTTTCTTTTAGTCCAATAAAAAATAAAAGGGAGAAAAGAAAACATGTTAAATAAAAATTGGATTATTTAAAAAAACTTTAAAATGATTATTTAAAATCTTTATCACAACGGCTTATAACATAACAAAGTGTTTGCCACGATTAATTATCAAAAAGAGTTTATACTTAAGTCTAGTTTGTGTATACCTATGTCATTTTTATTTGTAAGATGCGGACTTCAATGTCGTTTCTATTTTTGCTTTAAAACTATAGAACCGAGCAAAGGAAAAACACATAAAATGTCTGATTGATTTTAACAATTGTTTGATTGCTTTATGTTTTTGGCGTTTTTTATCACTTGTTGTGCAAAAGTAGATTTAATTGTTTTGCATTTTATTTAAAAATGAATTAACCGTTTACACTTAAATCATTTTTATATACAATAAATATTATTGGCTTAATTAATTATTTTAAATTTAAAATATACTTTATTTTTGAGATTATATAAATATAAAAAAATATTGACTAATATTAATCAAAAATATCAGTTGTAAAATTTAAATTGTAATATGAGATTGCGTGATAATATAATCAAGTTATAATACTCTGGATAAAATACTAAGGAACAGAATAATTATTTCAAAAAAGTTCAATATTAATTATTATACAAATTTAATTACAACAATTATTTTTTTTTTCAATAATAAATATATATTTATTATCGAATTAAACTTAATTCACTTAAACTCATAAAAGTATCATTGTTGATTTTATTTATCAAATATTTTTTTATATTATATTTAATGTTTTTATAGACAAAAAAATACATTGTATATTAAGTTTTTTTTATTAAATTATACTTAAAATATTTTAATAACGAATTTATTTGTAAATTAATTAATAAATGTTATTGTTTATATATTTTCGAACGTTTCTTTTTAAGAACACACCCAGGTTGTTTTCTACGAGATGGACATATCCAATCACCATCATCTTTTTTGTTTTTTATAGTCGTTGTTTTTACATATTTGTCATAAATAAGTTCTTTCGTTTTTGGTTTTTTAGAATCAGTTTCGTGTGGACATTTTTTTGTTTTATTTTTTGTTTTTTTAATTGTTTTTTCTTTGTTTACTATTTCGGAACTATCAATTTCAATATTTAATGTTTCTCCTAATTCCTGATCATCACATGGATTCTTTTCAAACTCTCCTTCAATCGCCTCATTATCATCATTTATTACTTGTTTACTATCTGTTGTTCGATTTCTCAAATGATCTTCCACAAAACCAACATCTTCGATGTTTATTTCTTCAATATTCCAATCTCCAAGAACACATTCTTCGACCACAGCCTTTTCGAAAGATAATTCCAAGTTTTCTCTGGTCTGTATTTTCATAATAGCTTGGTAAAATTCTTCACTTGTGATCGAATTGGAATAAAACGAAGTGGTTGCTGCAAAAATTGATTTGTTTTTAATTACACTTTTGGTGTTTTTTGATGGGCGTTGGCTCATTTCTTTAACAACTCTAATTGCTTCAATTTCAATTGATACCAATTTCAATAACAGCACTTCAAAAGACGGCTTTTTTGAAGACAGTCTTTTAACAAGAGCTGAGTGATAACTCTCACTAATATTATCTGTTCTCAACGACTGTTTGTACTGGCACCACAAAGGCAATAACCATTTCCACATCCAATTCATTTCAAAACAGTCAACAAATGCCAAAATATTATTTTTTTAAAAATGGATCGCACTTTTCTAATTCAAGTGTTATTACAATATCATTTTTTCTATTTCAAATTGTGCAATCATATCTCTTGGTTTAAAAAAAATGGTATGACCATTAATTTTTTGGCTGTTTTCCATATAAAACTCCCAGGAAAATAACACGGTTTCATTCCCAATTCATTTATTTTTCGCCATAAAATTTGGCAAAAGTGAAAATAGCAACCATGACAAAGACACCCGTACTTCTTTTAAAGTGTTTAACACGGCTATCTCAAAATCCAACATTACACTGGTTTTTGGTGAAAATAAGTGAAAATCAAACATTTGGAAATAATATGAATCTATTACATCGAACATTTTTGTATATAATGATTCTGATTTGCTTTTCATTAAACAGTGAAACAAAGGAAGACAAATTCCATTTTTTAGAACACAATGTATAGTATATAATTGATACCATTCATTAGGAGCAGAAGAAAATGTTCCGTCCAGACATAAATAAGTTATTTCTCTTCCTTTTAATATTTTTATTTTTTCCAATGATGAAAATATAAACAATTCTTCATCTTCGTAAGTCCAATAATCATTACCATCCAAAATACATTTTACTTTTCTAGACGCTTCTTCTTTTTTTCTTGGTTTATGTATCTTCTAAGTGTTTCTTTTTGATAACAACTCTCTCCATATTCATCTTGATATAAAGAAACAAGTTCGTTGGTTTCCAAAAAGCAATTCCTACCTCTCTTAATTAATTTTGTTATTTGTTTTCTTTCTTCTTTTTTTTCCACGTGTAACATTTTTATCATGAATATGAACTGAACCATTTTTGTATTTAACTTTTGTAAACACTTCGTTTTCTCCGATACCAACAGACTCAAACACTTCCACACAAACCAAACACCCCTTTGTTTTACAACGGAAAGTTTTTCTTTCAAATCCAGTTGGAACAAAAGAATAACCATCAACTATTGGCAGAGGTAATTTTAAACCACATTGTGTTTTTTTCTGACTTATAAAGTTTTCTACTCGTGGTTCAGTCATTTGCTTTTTGGGGTTTTATTTTATAAAAAACCCAATTAGTATTTAATAATGTATTAAATATGTATAGTATTTTTTAAACACAATAATCAACTACAAGTATAATTTTGTATATTATAATTATCAAAGCTTAGTTTAAAAAATATTTGAAAAATATCAATTTTTTAAAAAAATCATTTTAAAATAAAATCCAATTGTTTAATGTTTTTACAACTATTGTTTAAAAATAATTTACAATTATTTTATTTGTATATTATAAATTATTTATTATAATATTTTTTAAAAAATTATTACATTTTTGTTTTAAATTTTAATTTTTAACTTTTATTGAAATGATTATTATTTTCTGGAGTATTTTGTCTTAAGTATTTTTTCTTTATTATTTTTTCCTTCCCCCGTAATATGAATATCAAACGTTTATATACATACACTTGATGTGTATTTTATTTCAAAAATTGTTAAAACTTTTTATTTATCAAATAATATTTTTTGAAATATTGTAAAAAACATTGTCAGCACATGCAATTATATCATTGTGTTATTTGTAATCAATAATATGTCGAATTAAAAATATAAATTTTCCAAATTAAACATTAAACTACTTCAACTGACTAATGTAATACATGATCACAATTAATTTAAAATGAATAGTATTATATCAAATTAATTACAATTATTTTTTAATATACATCTCATTGTTTCATATATATATTTTAAATAGTGCTTTTGTTTATGTTGTTATTATATACATCGAAATTTCACAAAATATCTGTGTAATTGTATTTGGTTATTTTTATTTCTCGAACAAACTCAAAAATGTCATTTTGTTGAATATTTTGTGTTTATTCATGCACACGAATGCAACTTATAAATATAACTTGTATGTCAAAGTTTTAGTATTTATTATACATTGTAACAAAATAACAGAATTTACATTTTTATCACATTAATACAACCAAAACAATTCACTTAATGACAATTGTTTAAATTAAAGTAAAAACTTGTCAACCATTATTTAAATTAAAACATTCTACGAAATTGCGTTTACAACAAAAAAAAATTTTTTCTTTTGTAAATTTGTTAAACAAAATTACTGTTTTCCAATTGAAAAACAATAACTTATATACGGGCAGTGAAGTGAAGGTTTAAATTTTTAATTGAATACTAAAAAATCACGAGGATTGTTATTTTTCTGGGGATGATAAATATCTTAAACATAATTTCTTTCAATTTAGATTTTTTTGCCTAAGATCAAAAAGGTATATTTTGAAACACGTGATTATATTTAAAAATGCTATTAAAAAATTTTTTGAAAGACGATTCTTTCAGTTGATTTTTACAAAAAATAATCTATTTCTATTTTCTGATTTACCACTTGACCAACTTTGGTTTATATGAAAATAGATAACAGACATTTAAATTATCAAAAAGTTGATTTTTTGGTCAAAATCACAAAACAAACTAATCGAACAATTTTATTTTTTTTTACAATAAATACAATTTATAACAAACAGATTCATGATATTTCAAACAATAAAAATTAATACTAAATAACATATTTATAATGTATACTCTATGCGATGACAATTTATGTATTTGCACAAATTCTAAAACGAGAGGTTTTGGAGATCGATAAAACAAAGATTGATAAATAAACAAATTTTTTAAATATTATTTTTGTTTTAAAACGGTTTTATTCAATTTTTTAAACATATATACACAAGAAACTGCATTACGATATTATTTTTCGACAAATATTTCTTTAATTCAATAATCAATTTATATATTATTTGGCTTTTTGTTGTGTTTTGACAATTTTGATTTAATTAATTAACAAGACCCATTTTATATATTTTCTTTGAAAATATAATTTAATGATTACCATACAACTCGCCTTTGGACAACTCCCCTCCTTTTTCCAAAAAAGTTCAACGTAATTTACACAAAAATTCAAATTGTACTTTTTTTCAAAAAACTTAACCCAAATTATTTTCAAACAAAAATCACATGGTTAATAATAGTAATGACATACCACATTTTACAACATTGGTTTCACAGAGAGGAAACGAACTTCCTTACGTTGACGGATTTAAATTTACTCCAATAGATAAAGACAGAAAAGTATTCAAATGTGCATACAAAGGCTGTTTCAAGAGAATTGAAGTATTTTGTGAAAATAGAAAAATGACTTCTTTTGAATTTATTCGAAACCCCAAAAATTGTCCACATCTACACGAATCCAAAGATTATTACAATGATTTGTGTAGATACAAAATGAAAATGGCATCGAAAAGTAAAGAAAATACAATGAAAAGTACTGGACAGATAGTTTCTGAAAACTACGTTAAAGGTTGTTCTTCAAGATTATCAACTTGTGGAAAAAAGTTAGAAGGGCTAAAGAAACAAAGAATAATAAAACAATTGAGTCTATTGTATTCAATGAAATAAAAAAAGAATTTGTGTTGTTTCAAAACGATGAAATGATATTATTTGGTAATAAAAACAATCTGGACTTATTCAAAACAACAAGTCATATATTTATGGATGGAACCTTTAAGTCATGCCCAAGTTTGCTTGTGTTTTCAATACTCAGTTTTTACAAATAGGTTTATTTTCCCAAATTTATACTTTTATGTGTCTCAAAAACAATGATAGCTTTCCTATAATATATGCTTGTTTGACTAGTAAAAGCAACACAACTTATAAAAAAACTTTTTGATAAAATAGAAGAATTAATATTATATCCAGTGTTTCACAGCAAAGTTATAATAGTTGCCGATTTTGAATTGGTGTTGATGAAAAAACTGTTTGGCGAAGAATTTAAGTGTGAATGTTGCTATTTTCACTATTTCCAGACATTGTACAGAAGAATTGTTAACATGGGTCTTCTTTACATATACAATGATTTAAACAATTTCAAAAATTTGCACAATTGTTAATGGCATTGCCATTTTAACCAGAAGATAAAATTGAGAACACTTTCCACTGAATTCAAAACATTAATTTGGATGACAATGATATTATGAACTTCTTAAAATACTTCGAAACCAATTATTTAAAGGGCAGATACTCTAAACAATATTGGTATATATACGAGACGTAACATCAAACAAATAATTTCTCAGAATCATTGAACTCAGCACTTAACCGATTTATCAAAAAACCTCATCCAAATATACACGAGTTTTGTTATCTTCTTTCAGAATACCAAAACACTGTCAACTTGAAACTATATGCATTGACAATAAATTTTCAAAAAACAAGAAAAAAACTTCAAGAAGACAAAAACGCATTCATCAAACAAGAAGAATAGGATTTGTATTCGGATCACCCAATTGACGTGTTGGAGTATTTGGAGGCTATCATTAAAATAAACAAAAGTTGCAAATTGAACGATTTAGTTCATTGCACTACTTCAAATGTTGCTGAAAACAACGACAAATAAGACTATACAAGTGTTGACACCAATCTCAGAAAACCAATGGAACTTGAACATATGGAAGATTCTATTTTAGAAATAGATGAAATTGTTTTTGAAAAACCTTTTGAAATAATTCAAAACAAATGCTGTTCTTGTCCAGATAAAACCAAATTCATTGGTAAAGAAACACCCGATTCGTTGGTTAGTAATAAAAACAACAAAAGTATTAAATTTGTAAGCGTCAGAGAAAAAATCAAACAAATTCAAAAAACACAAAAACAAAAGAAAAAAATAAGTACAAAACCATCAAAAAGGAATTCACTTTCAATTTTGTTGAAACGAGTTAGAACCTCTTTTGGAAAAAAAAACAAGTGTTGTTGTTAAATGTGTTTTTTTATTTATTAATTTCAACACGAGTTTCATGTGTT